TACAGTCTATTCTCCATGGCACCAAGAACACCTTTGGAAAAGTAAAATGCGACATGATGTACTTGTCCTGGCCTATGCTAAATACAGCTCCGCTGAAGGATCTCTGCATTGAGAGCGTACGTACCAATTCCCAGGGCTCAGGAGTGTCTGGTCTGATGCGATTTTCATTTACAGATTCCAGCAGAATTAATTGGAATGCATCCGGAGCCTTCTGTCCCCATCTCCGGAGAGAACTCACACGAAAGCAGATTCTGGGTACAGTGCTTTCAGAGAGCAAATGTCTCTGCTTTATAGTCAAGTCCTATTGACTCAAATTACTCAATTTATCCCCGGGATGTTCCTCTTGATATAAATAGAGATCTCCTCGTTGAACTTCCTGCCAGCCACCGAGGTCAGAAACGGGAATTCAGAGGGACAGCGTCAGTTTGGACTGTGCCTTCTGGTATTGCGGTTTTGCAAGACACTGTTAGATCTTGAGGAACTCAACGCAGCCACAGCCAGAGTGTGCCTCCTGAACACGAGCCCCCGTCTCTGGGGCAAGAGCGCACAGCTCGGGAGGATTCGCTTTGCTCCAGAGGAGAACATCTGCTGGGTTCATGAGAGTCTTGTGACCTGCCCAGCATGCAAAGGATTCAGCAGTGGGGGTGACTATTGCAGAGCATTTCACGGGACGGAGCAGGAGCGGGGCCAGCACATGGGCTTGGAGTCAGAAGGTGCAAGTTCACTGACTTGGGTGGAGCTGCTCTCTCCTTGCACCAGCTCTGAATATGACCCAGGGCAGCTGGAAATCGGAACTCTAAAGCACGACCAGCTTTTCTTTCTTCCCTCAGCGTGTACGTGGGGCTCAGCTGCCAGATGGACTCGCTGAGCTGTCGGCATGGCAGATTAGACGGAAAGGGAGATAAGGAAACACCAGCCTGACTTCCTCTGGTGCAACGAAGCATTAAATGGAGGCTGGAGTCCAGCAGCCCTCCAAGAAAAGGCCTTTGCTGTCATCCTCTGTAAAGCCACCTGCCTAGATGGGGCCTCTGAACTTTCTGCCCCCCCCACCCCTCACTTCCTCTGGGTGGCCAAATTCCTCCTTATTCCTGCTGCAACTAGGTCTTGCCTCAACTCCTGCAATTCCAGCTCGAGGGCTTCTTCAGCCTCTGCTCTGCAGCTGGGACGGGCTCAGCTGCTCCAGGAAGCCGGACCGTTTCCAAACATAGGTCCTGTCGCTCCATTAGCTTCCTCACCCTCCCGCTCTGCACGGAGGGAGCGGGGCTGTGTAAGGGCAGCCCAAGAGGGATGTAACAAGGATCCCCCCTGCCAGGCCCAAGGACTATCCCATTGGACACCCCACCCAGAAGCACCTGAAGACTGTGGACACCTTCTGTCAGGCCCAGAGCAGCCCTCCTCACATTACTCAATAGGGGTCTATGCGCCCTGCAGTGGGCGCGTCTGGTCTGGCCAAGCAGTAACCGCAGGAGGCGTGAAAGTCAGCCCACGCGCTGTGCCACGCGCCACTTCAAACCCACGTAAGGGCTCGAGCCTGCGAGGTGCTGGGCACCCGCCATGGCCCTGACCCAGCAGACTGCTCCACGTTCAGGATATGCTGAAGAGCTTTGCTGGATCGAGGCCAGAATGCGCCGCCCCTTGCAGGATCCAGCCCTGAGGATCCCGCAGGCCCTGCGCTGAGCCTCTGCGCCGGCCAGCAAGGGGCTGAACATCACCTGAACTCCGACAGGCTGAGGGCTCAGCCTTGCAGAGTTGGACAGCTGGGATCCCGGATGGCATTTCTGCTGCACACGGCAGTAGGCCTGCTCCAGAGGCTCTCTCCTCCCTGGAACAATTTTCTCCTGGTTAATTACAAGAATCCGTATTTTTTCCTGCAAGATGGTGCAAAAGATTTTCCACCGTTCTGTTCTGCAGTGAGTGCGGAGCTGGGTCTGGGGATGCAGCCGGAGGAGGGACGAAGCAGGCAGAGAGAGGGCGTGCCTCCTTCAGGCTGCCCTCCAAGTGCTTATCCCTGCCTCGGAGAGACCCTCTCCAAAGGGCATGGGCAACTGAGTCGCTCTGGCCCCCTCAGCCACACGTCAGCTGGGAACGACTTTCACAAACTCCCAGCCAGGGTTGGATTTGAACGGGTCCCCTAGAGGTGTAAGATTTCCATTGAGCGCAGACAGCTTCATCACAGGTTCCCACTGTGCGTATAGCTACTTACGCCTTGCACAAATACGCACACGCGTGGCAAATTGCTACAAGAGCTTAGGGTGATCCTATCTCAGCCAGGTGTGGGGCACCTCTCTGCTGAGCTAAGGGACCTCGCAGAGGTCAGCCCACCACCAAAGACCTTCTGTGGAACGTCACTGGCTCCTGCTGCAGGCGGGGATGGCGTTTCCAGCAAACACAGGGGAAAGGAATTTTCAAAAGCTTCATTTAAAAAACAAACAAACAACATGACAACGGGACACATGCGCCCAGGGGAGGTGGGAGGGCAGCCAAGGAGCATAAGGAACAGACTGGGTCAGTTTAGCTGCTGGCTCCAATTGCTATAAAAAGGAACCTGGGCAAAATGGCTGTTAATAGCATCAGCAAAATCATCTTCTACGGTAACCCTGCATTCTAGCCCAGGAGAAAGAGGGGCTAATGGTGGGATTTTAAAGGCGCCCAGGGGAGTTTGGAGCTTGAATCCCAAAGTCAGTGGGAGTTGGGAGCCTACCTCCCCGTAACGTCTTTGAAAATCTTCCCCTAAATAAGCAGCAATAATCACATGCACTTCCATAGAGTGTCATCCCTGGACCGCAAAGTAATTGACAAAAGGAAGGTCAGTGTCACCCTCTCTGCCTAGGAGAGGGGGAACGAGGCACAGGATCCACCCGTGTTGTCAAACTCAGAGGCCTGAAGTGATGTATTTAGGTGCCTAAGTAGCCACACGAGTGCAGCTTCATTTTCATCTGGGCCGAGCGCTCAGGGCTCCCGGGGAAGTGAAGATTTCAGTGAGTAACTTTAATAGGTTACACAGCCCGAAGGAACCACCGCGATGATCATAGCACAGCCCTGCAGTCATTCCCGTTTCGGCCGACACGTTTGCAAAGTTTGGTCTAACCGACTTGCCCATGTTCACCCTGCAAACCAGGGGCAGAGTCCGGAACAGATCTCAGGTTTTCTGTCTCTGTACTCAGCCCATTAGACCACAATGTTTCCTCTTCGAAGAGGTGATTCACCAGGTCTTTGTATTTCTAACGTCTACTAGTCCAGCAAGTCAGAGACGTAAAAGACCTACCAGGTCAAGTCCGTCTCCCAGCAAGTCAGGACAGAGTCTCCAATGGAGGATGCAAAATTGGGATTGGCTGTCTTTCATGCGCTGTCCTCCAAGCACAATCAACTCACGTGCTCAGTTTCCCTATGGGCGTCCATCCCCATTGAACCCCAGGGCCACCACTGCAAATACCAGCACAGATTCTTCCTTACAGCTGGTTGGCAAATGATTTTTCCCCCCATGAAAAGTTTTAATGAAAAAAACAAAATGGTTTTTGACAAAAACATTGTCATTGAAAATTTTCATATGAAATCCAAAAATGTAAAACCAACCTTGTTTTGGGAGGGTGGTGGTGGGGATGTTAAAACCTCCATTTAGTTGAAAAAGCCATTTTCCAATGGAAAAAAGGGTTTAATGGAAATTTTTTGCAACCAGCTACAGGAAGAGGCCCCTGAAATTCCCTGCTGGTTAAGGGGGCAAAGGAGGAGGAGATTAGACGCCTGGGACGTTATTATATAAGTATCACATAACCGAGGCCCGGGCTCGCCTGCAGATTGACCTTGACTTTCGTATACTAACAAGAGCCATTATGCAATAAGCTGACAACAAAACCCGGAGAGACGGCAGCTGACGGATTCCTTGGACCCTTAGATGCTCTTTTCTATGTTTAATCTCAGAAAACTCCCCTCCAAAGCTATTTTATTGCTATTGATTCTGGGAGCAAAACCCAATTGATCTTGGTCGAAATGAAGCATTTTTAAAATGTCTGTTTATAATAGTGATGAATGGAGCCTTGTGGGACTGATCTGGGCTGCACCCCTGTTTCAAAAGCGAATGTGTCTCTCCTTGGTCAGTTTCAGAGCCCTCCTCCCTCTGCAGCAACAGACCCACGGAGCGCGCTCACCCAGGGTTTTGCAAACACGCTTCCCTTGGCATGGGCAGTTTATCGTTCAGCAGACCCCTTTAGCAAACCAGGAAATGAGCTGGGCGGGTGTGGAGATTGGCAGCTCATAGAACAATAAGGGCTCCATGTGAGAAGGAATTTACAGGACGAGGGGACTAATGAGAACAAGGCAGCCTGGGTCAGTGGGTAGGGCAGCGCCTTGGGGCGCAGGAGATCTGGGTTCTGTCCCCTGCTCTGCCGTTAATCTGCTCTGTGACCTTGAACGAGTCATGCTGCCCGTTGCCCTTCCTGTGACCCATTCGATACCACCTGGCACTGAACATTGCCAGCCACGGTTAAAGGCAAACGGGCCCCTTCAGTCGGGCCACCCAGGTGTGTGTTCACAGGGGGTCAGGCTTTTCTCGAGCTCCCATTGCTCTTGGCAGGAGCCGCTGAACTGTCAATCTGGGCCAAACCATGGGCGTTTAGTGCTTCTGAAAACAGAGGCCAAACCCTGCTGGGAAGGGAGCCCGGCTCCTGCCAAAGCCAGATTCCCAGGATCCATGCCCTGAGTCCATCTGTGCTCGCCTAGAGCGACTGGCATCATGGGCCCGACCAACAGATATTCCCCGCCCACCAGCTGCTCCCTGGCTAACGTGCTGCTTTTCATCACACCCTCATTTCTGGACTACTCCTTCCCCACTCCCTGAACATGGAAAGCCCTTGACGGGGTTACGCTGTGAGCAGTGACGGGTTGTCTGTCCTTGCTGGCATCCCTCCGCCCCCCCGTACCCTGACGCTGCTGCGTTTCCGACGCGGACGCACGGATCTCACCCCTTCCAGCCTGAAAGTTCTTTGAGCCTTGTAATAACTCACCGTGTTGAAGTTGGGGAACAGGTTGAGTGGGGACGTCCCATTGAATCTAAAGGTCAGGAAGTGCTTGATGTCCAGTGGCGGGTGTAGGGGTCGCCCAGGAACAGACAGCGATGCTAGGAGGGGGCTGCTGTGCCCAGATGGACCTACGCAGAGAGGGAAGGAGACACAACGTTGAGATTTTTCTTAATTAAATCACCCGGAAAAGGGCAAATGTCAACTCTGAAATTTTGAATTAAAATGGTGTTTTGGCTTTTTGGTTTTAAATAACTGAAATTACAAGAGACTGACATGAAAAGGGAATTGTTTTGCCTTGAATTGGTTCAAAATGTCCCACAGGGAAACGGAAACATTTCAAACCACCAGCTTTTTGTTTTAAATTTCTCATGTTAAACCCCCCGTTTTCCCAACTCTCTCTAATAACCCTGACAATGCCCACCGAGAAATACGGGGGCCTCTCTCCCTCCAAGGGGATTCTGGGTAGGTACAGGGGAGTGCTCTCGCAGATCCTGATGCAGGACTGGGGCCTCTGACTGTAGGCTGCTTGGGGTGGGGACCTGGACTTGTTTTGAGTCTTATACAGCTCCGAGCACACGGACACTTAAAGCTATAGAGACAACATGGCAATAAAAGCAATGGAGATGCAGAGGCAGTAGCTGGACTAGCTAGTCACAGGGGAGGTACACATCCCCTGGCTAAGCGGTTATGCTAAGCTTGTCAAAGGAGTTTGACTTCCAGTGGGTTTTGAATGCCTCATCTGAGCTTTAGGCACTGGGGAACAGCCTCAGTTCTCCTCCGCCACTGGCTAGGATTAGAAATACAGCTACTGGTGCTCCTGCTGCCTCTCCCCACCTCCCTCGCTGTTCCCCCCGATGGGTTATTAGCGTCTATAATAGAAACACCCACGTCCCGAGCGCCACGAACCAGCTTCCCAGGCTGCCGCACGCCTTCCCCCGCAGATTGACGGTGAGCGCTGGTGCGTGATCTAAAAATAGTCCGAAGTAAATAAAAAAAAATATTGTAGGAACTGGGGAAAACCGAATTGGTTCGAAGCAGCCAGAGGCTCTTCTGGAACCTGAGCAGAAACTGGATTTGAATAACCAGATCTGAGCTGAAAGACGAGTGTCAGACGGCATCAAAATCAAAGTCACTGCCCCTCACCCGTCGAACCTGCATTTCCTCCCTTTGCTTCGCCCCCTACTTTCATTCCTTTTCAGCAGCTGTAAGGCTGAGGTTCTGCGTGCGGCTTACGGCCCAGTGCCCGGGACCTCCCCATGCCACCCTGGCGGGAGGCTTTGCTATAAACACACCCGGAGCAGGGCTGGTAATTCCACTGATTCCTCAGCCCAGAGAGCACCTGGGTTTGAGCACGAAAGGGGAAGGGGCATGAAGACTTTAAGGAGCCCGGATTTCCAAACTCTGAGCAGATGAGCTAAGGGAACCGACCCCAGGAGTTATGGACAACCGATGGAACAGATCCGCTGGGCCTGAGCCTCAGTGTGGGGGAACTATGTGCTGTGCTGGGGGAACGGATGATGCGGGGTGGAGGGCTGAGATGGCGTCTTCCCCGCCTCTGCCCTGGCTGCTGTAAGTCAGAGCAGCGTCCGGGCTGCTCTAACATTGCTCTGCTCCCCCGGAGGCCCGACAACAGCCATCGCACAGTTCCCTCCCGCCACGCCCCTGAGCTGCGCCCTAGGCTGGCAGCGGGGAGCAGGGCAGGTGTACAGCCCTGACGCCCCTGTGCAGAGATGATTCCCTCCCCGCCCATTGCAAGGTCCCTTCAAACACCTGAGCTGCTCTGGCAGCATGGAGGGGCCGCAGCACCAGCCCGGATCAGGCTCCCTGATGCCAAGGGCTGAGGCGGGCAGGGCTCGGTCAAGCAACCCAGGAACTTCACTCTCCTAAACACACAGGGGGCCCCCTCCAGGCTCAGTGCTGGGGAGTGAGTCCCTTGGGCAAAGCGTTACCCGCAGGGCGTGGAGTCAGGCCAAGGCACCCCGCCCCACCTACGAGGCTGCGTGGGGAGCCCTTTGCACTGTGGAGAGGGTCCCTTCTCTGGTCCCACACGGTCCAGTGTGGGAGGGAAGGAGGCCGGCAGAGCCACCTTCCTTTGGGTCCAGGGGCCCTTGGCGGAGGGGCTGAGGTCTCCGTTCCAGGCTATCAGCTGGAAGAGCCGCTGCCGAGGGGCTGCACGGGAGCCCCCCGAGACTGCACAGCCAGTCTTGACACGGCGGGAGAGGATGCCAGCCTTCAACTCAGCCCCAGTCTGAACATCTGCACCGGCTCCTGGGAGTACGGGCTCTTTGGGCGGAGCTTGGAAGAACACTGTCGCTCTCCCCCCGTTCAACCCCTGGGTGGGGATTAGGAAGAAATTTCCCCTTTTGGGCAGGTCACTCCATAACCGCCCAGCGAAGGACCTTGCACCTTCCTCTCCCCAGCTGGTGCTGGCCACTGTCAGAGACAAGGGACCGAACTGAATGGACCATGGACCTGTTCTGCTATGGACGTTCCTATGTGCCCATCTTGCTTATCAAGTAATAAGTGCCCCCAATCTGTGCCTGACCCTCTGCAGGAAAGCACAGTGTCTATCTTTCCCCTAAGTTTTACTTTATTTGAGGCCTCCTGTCTCCATTGCTTCTTGGACTAGAACTTTTCAAACTCTTCAGCTGATAAAGGTGTGCCGGCTTGTTACCGTGGAGCGCGAAATGTATTGTTGCCATAAACCTCACCGTTCACTGCAGACGTGAAAACACGCTGAGCGCAGTCCTGCCCTGCGTGATCGCTGAGATACAGCGCATCAAACTGGCTGCATATTCCCCGGGCCGCGCCCCGGATAACTACAGGAGAGGCAGGCGCTGACAGCCGGCTTTAAATCACACACAGATGCTAAGAGAGTTCAGAGACATATTCCGATATAACAAGACACATTTCTGTTCTAAAGAGATCCCAGTGGCCTTAAATGAATCTCCAAAATCACAAACATGCCGTTAACAGAGCCATACAATTAACTTGGGACGGCTGCTGTATTTGCATAAGAGCAGGACGATGACTGACAGCATGGAAGCTCATCAGAAGCTTAATGGTGGGGTCTGGATGAGGTCTTATCGTTGCAGCTCTGCTAGCAAAACGTCAGGTGCTTCCAGAGAAAGGAGGTGGGTTTTGAACACTGCGTTCAGCTCTGGTCGCCCCATTTCAAAAGAGACACATTCTGTAAGGCCGCGGAGAAGTTCTGTGCCTGCTATAGAAACACAAGCCTTTTCCCTCACCCGAAAGAAATGTGACAGAGCAGAACTTGCAGTGACTAGAATACTAACCCCCACCCGTGTTCTTCTATAGCATTGCTCTTCCACTGATCTCCAAGCGCTTTACAGAGGAGGGCAGTAACTCTACCCCCATTTTACAGCTGGGAAAAACAGAGGCACAAAGACATGAAATGTTTCACCCAGGGTTCCCCAGCAGGCTAGCACGCGAGCTGGGAACAGCACTCCCATCTCTACCCACTGCCTCTTCATTATTACCGTGAAGGCAGCAGGAGAGGGGGCCGTTCCTCAAAGGCACAAGTGACAGTGAGGCATCTAAATCTCATTGGTGAGATCCTGGCCTCAGTGACTCACACTGACTTCAGTCGGGCCAGGATTTCACTTGTGTCTTTCAAACGCCCCCCCTAGAGTCACTTCAGACCCGAAGCCTCCACTCCAGCTTTCCATGCCTGTTCAGAGACGCACTTAAGCGTGTGCCTCATTGTTCTGCCAAATCAGGGCCTTCATCAGACACTGGCCGTTCTTTCTATGTAGTTCAGAGTCTTCACTGGCATCAGCCTGGCGGATCGGGGAGTCAAGAGGAAAATCTGAAATTCCAAGTTCGCAAGATTGTTGAATTTCAGAATAAAAAGCATGACACACTGGCCCTCCAGGCAAAAGTGACCTCTTTCTGGGAGAATGCACATATTCATTTCTTTCTCTTGATAGGAGCTATCCCTGAGCCAGTTCTAACTCCAGGGTAAAAATTACTGTTTGCTTCATCAGGCGTGCATTGATCGAATTAATTCCAAAGTCACCCAGGAGGGAAATCTGGGAAACAGTTTAAAAATAAACAAACAAAAAAATAAATAAATGGAAAGAAGCGGAAAAAAAAAAAGGCAAACCCCAGCAAAAAATGGGTGAACGGCTCATAATGAACTTTCTGGGGCGTGAAACGGTATTTCTGCATCGCATCATCTGAGCTGGCGTGGCACAGCATCCGGCGGGATCGGCGCCCCCTAGGGAGGGCCCCGCGTCCCACCCTTTTACATGCGATGGTAATACTAGACCGGAAAGCAGCATCAGAGTGACTGGATTTGGGACTGGACTGCGAGGGCATCTGCTCATCTTTGTCCGTAAACTTCAAAATGTTTTTTTTCTCTTTTGTTGTTTTTAAAGAACGTTGACGTTCACATGGTGGGGAATGATGCCGGTGACTTGTCTCTGCCCCTGTGGACGGTTAACGGGCTAATTGGCGACCGCAGCTCAGCAAATGCAATGGCGTTGCTGCGCTGGTGGAACGTGGCGATTGCTAGCACGGTGCCCCTGACGTGTGGGGCCGGGAGCGTCGTTATTACCACAAGAAGAGCGCTTGTAACTAAGCTACAGACAGCCGCATGGTTTGGTGGGGACTATTCTCAGAAAAGAACTCCCTGGGAAAACCCCCAGTAACAAGGACGTTTGGTCTGCTAGCAAGAACGACGGCCAACACTTACGTTTGTGCTTAACTTTAAGCTTGTGCTTCAGTGCTTGGCTGAATCGAGGACTTGGTTCTCGCTTCCCTCAGAGAGACTGGTACCTAGGTGATTCTTAGTACAATAGACCTACCCAAGATCAAGGCCTCATTGTGCTGGGTATGGTACAAACACATGGGAGATTGTCCCTTCTTTGAAGGGCTCACCTTCTATCTATCCCAGGCAGACAAACAGTGGGAGAAAGGCTGAATATCAATATCCTTATCCCCATTTTGCAGAGGTGGGAACTGAGCCACAGAGTTAAGTGACTTGTCCAAGGTCACACAGCAAGTCTGTGGCAGAGCTAGGAACAGACTCCAGACTTCCTCCCCAGTCCCAGTGCAGCGTCTTCCACACAAGATTCTGTGTCTCTCCTCTTGAGTCTGGCAGGCT